AAACCAGAGAAAGACTGAATATTTGTAATATTTCTCAGAGTGAAATTGAAAACTAAAAACAAGTTTTAATTCTGAATCTTTTTCTGTCTTTAATACACAGCAAATCCTACTACTTTTTTGAATTCAATTATTAGACACGTGCACAAAACTGTAAAAGCCTGGACCAAAAGCGAACATTATTGGGTGGATGACAGAGAATCCTTTTTTAAAAATCATTTCTCTGCAAACTACCTACTGATTAAAATTTTTTTCACTTCTCTTTTTTTCGTCCTTATTCAGTTACCTTTAGAAATTAAAAAATGACACATAGTCAGTTTAATAAGAATGACTTTTATGTATAGAGGTCTATTCCAGTTTTTTATTCAATTTTTACATTTAGCAGCGAAAGTAACTGCTAACAGTAATCGAATAGGTTTCTGTACTTTCTGAAGATTCTTTCTAAAAGCAACTAAACAAAGTACAATATTACTCATTGCAACAAACAATTCTTTTTGTTCTTCTTATTGCTTTGCCATATCCGATTATATACTTCTTTGATATCGCTTTGAGGAAATCACATCTATTTACAGCAGCAGTAAAAAGTTTTTGGTAAGAGATGTCCCAGCTGCAGAACTACATCTTGCATGCATGCGCATTTGTGATCTGTACAATTAAAAGTTTGGCTTTGAAAACTGTAAGACCTGATTTATATAAAACTAGGTCACATTTAGTTAACTCTTTCAAAACAATTTAGGGCTGTTCATTCCTATTTTCAGTCGACGGATAAAGAAAAAATTTCGCTGATAAGCACTCAAGGCTTTGCAGTAAAGACTCATTTACTAAGTTATCAAAATATAGATTTTACTTTTTTTGTTGCTTATATCCGTGCTTTGAGACCATCAGAGACCAATGTTCATTCCTGGAGTAGCAAATACCCACTTAAAATCTGAAATTCAGCTCTGATCCTAGATGTCGTCTTAGTTTCTTATTAACCTGTGCAATTCATCTATTGCAGGAGAAGTGTATAAGTACCACGTTGATGTTTGCGCATCTGGAAAACTTTTTAAACTGGGCATACAAAAACGCTCTATCATCAAATAAAGCTTTTGAAATTTTTTTATTAATTCTTCATACTATTTAGAAGCGTACCGTTGGTCGCTTTTCTATTTTAACTTTTCTTTTAATAAGTGAAATTTTAAATTGCTGGTTAATGCCTCTGAAATATTCAGATGATATAAGTTTTTTGCAAAGACCCATCATGGAAAGTCGGTGGCTTTACTTCTGATAAACTTCGTTTTTTAAGTCAGAATTTATTTTACTTCTGTTTGTTTGAACCAACTCCATAGCAAAGAAAAGTTTTTTCATGATTTCTTTGGCACTGACTGATGCCGCTAACAATCTTTTCTTTTTTTGGCGTACTCTAATAACTTTCCTTTACTGATAATTTACTTAAGCCCACATCTTTATTTATTGCTTTACTTTTTGCTTCTAACTTGAACAAAAAATATTTTTTAATTTTTCTACAACCTCTTATAAGGTCTAAAGACTGTATTCTTGGAATTTATTAATTTTTCTGACTCTTCCAGATCACTGCCTGTGACGGAATCTTCTGATATCTACCTTAAAAGCCTTTGATATATTTTCTCTTTTAATAACATCTCATTTTGAAGCTAAAGCAGAATTTTACCCGCCATAGTCACCGATAAGGCGTTGCGAGTTGCTTTACTCGTAAGCTACTTGAGCTAACGACGAAAGTCTAAAAATATTAATCGTACTTGTTTTTTTTTAATGAAAATTATAGAAAGATTATAAGAATACAAAAAGCAGATAAGGTTATGCTTTAAAAAAATTTGCAAACGAAAGTTCAAATAAAAGAAACGGTGAAAAAATGAAAAATGAAGCAAAATATGTACCTTAAAACTCTCACCTTCACTTAAACAGTAACAGATAAATCAAATGACCCGACACATTAACAGATAGTATTTGGGAAATAAAGTGACAATACTTTCTGGTCGACCAATCAATAAACAGTTTTGCTATTCTTTTAAAAAGTTGGCATCATTTTTATAAAAGTTTTAGCTAATTTTTTATCCCCACTATTCGACCTTGCAGTATCTGGTGCCAACTTTACATTTTTTTTGATAAATAGACATTTTGGACACGTTGTAATGCACTTTTTTTGTGCCAAAAAGGCCGTAAATCAGCTTTGATAATGTGTAATCGCTTTTCTTATTTTTCATGTAAGAAAATTTTCCTATTTCACAGGTATCACTGGTCCGCCATGCTACATCTAATCTATTTCACCTGTTTCAAATGTTTACTGAAGACACATGAAAAATTGTTTCTACAGTGAACGATAGTTGAAAAAGTTTGACAGAAGTTCCCTTGAAAAAGTGCGGTATTTAAATTGTAAATTTCTTTTTCAAGCGTTTGCTCCTTGCCGTTAACGCACTGTATTTCAAAATTATGCTACTAATTTATAGCTTACTTGCTTCGGCTTTGTCAAATTTCACTTTTTTTTTGCCTGTGTTCAAGAGCAAAGAAATTTTTGGTATTTCTGTACTTCCGCACGCATTTCGAAAGCCTTTTCACTTTATACAGCCTTTTTCAAATCGTTTCTCAGCGAATGGGGTCAATTCACACTAGACAAACAGTTGAAATGCTATGCTTTGGAAAAGCATTCTTGAGCTGATCATTTAATGAAAACAACATCTTTAACTTGCGAAGGCAAAACGTAACACCAATCTAACTCACTAATCAATAATCATATTAATGAATTATCCACTTTTTTAATCAGAAAATACACTACTCACCGTGTTTATCGGGTAATAGACTAGAAAGTACGATCTGATCTGTACATCTACCTGCCTGCTCTTGCAACTGTTTCTAAGACTTGGGAACCAACAAAAGATTTCACCAGAGAAGCCATAGAACTAGGCCAGTTTATGATACTAAATTGCTTCATATTTTGAATACAGTTTTGAAACAGCGAACTCCCACCAATATAAAACAAAATTGGTTGCTTCATAACAGTCACCGCATCTTTTAAAACGTTCCCTGCGTTACCATAAAGCCCCATCTACACTATTCAACAGTATATCAAGTCTCTGTGAACAGCCGCATCAATCTTAACACCAAAACAACAGAACACGTCTTCAGCTTCAATCAAATTTTGTAAAACGTCTTCAATTTCTCAAACAGAAAAACTGGTCTCTCCTTTACAGTTACGTCAAAAGAGACCAGTTTTTAATTGGAAGTGTGTGAGACAAGCATAAAATTAAAGAAATTCAAAAGCCAGCCAGAAGAGTGACCTGGCTGTTGGCTTCAGAAATCTAAACAATGAAAATATAATGTCGACTAACTGCAAAGACTAGTTTTCCATTAACCTCGTCGTGAAATACTACGGAAAAGTATGAGAAAACTTTGTTTTATTTATCGCTGAAAACGTGAAAAACAAAATAAAAATATATTGTCCTCAACTAACTCTTTTATTACATCACTTTTCATGCTCAACAGTTCCTCATCAACACTTATTTCTAGCTGTCACCACCCACGAACTAGTACACGAATCTTTATAAAAAGCATACATTTAAAATAAGTCAAAATATCAACAATTGATGCAATCGAAGTGAGCTCAACACGACTTTAACTTTGGCCTATGCTCCTTCCAACATCATTAAGCCATAGGGTTTGTTCTCATTAGCTCCAAGTCGCTCGCTACCATTTCTTTAACCAGGTCCTAAATAATTAAGATAAGCACTGTCAAGTTACTTATAATGACGCTTACAAGCAGTTTTCCTACCTTGATTTGTATTTTGGGCTTCCAACCCAATTTCTCCTCCGCTTTTGAAGCGTCACCAATCAACAATTCTACCTAAATGAAAACATCTATCCAGTCATTCAGCTGAGCTCATATGTGCATCTCTTTTATGGCGTATAAAATTAATATAAGGAAAACTATTATATAAAGCAATAAAAAATGGCTTACTTCAGTTGGACGGTAATACTTTGGATTGACTTTGACTCGGACAATCCCTGTATCTTTCTCTTTACCAATTTCATCAACACCTTCACCTTCCCACCTAAATCTTTGACTGAATAACTTCATCAACAATAACTCTACATCCTTCGTTTTTTACCTCCCAACTGCTAAATGTAAAACTTCTAACTAATTTTATATTAAAAGTATTTTCACTTCGTCAAACTATAACAGAACTTTTTTAAACAAACACTGAGTAGACTCCTTTTAGACTCCTTTTATCTAAACTTACACAATAGTTTTTCCTATTTCCTGAAATGCCAACTCTACAAATTCACGCACAGTGTAGTTCTTGCCTGTTGCGATAACAAAGTCATCGGGATGATCGTGTTGTAAAATTCTCCACATTGCCTAAAAAGATGCATTTATAAAGAAATGGAACTATTGATTCAACACCAAATGAGCCTTCAGGCGTTAGTAACTGAAGTGTAAAATTCATTTATAGATTGCATATTAATGGCAAGATTAAGGATGAGAATCATGGTCAAAATGAGTCAAAGTCTTTACCTCTACATACTCTCTAGCATGTCCCCAATCACGGCGAGAGCTTAAATTGCCAAGTTCAATAAATTCTTGTTGACCCAGAGATATTTTTGCAACTGCTCGAGTAATTTTCCTAGTAACGAAGGTTTCTCCTTAAATAGCCCTGCTTGGCTAAGTAACTTGATAATGCGTTAATCTCCCACAATTTTAAATATTGGCTTCAATTGTACGAAGAAATTCCTTTAGACTAAACTGTTTTTACACAAGTCGTAAAAAATAAGAAAACCGAAAATCATTTTACAGAAAAGTGATTGCTTATACAAACAATAAAACGATTATAGCTGCAATAAGATGTGCAATACGCAAGTGTGTCACTCCAACTGAAAAAGTGAAATCAAGTTTCCTAATAACTTTTACCATACCTCTTCGAGGACTTTCATGGTTGAATAAAATACCATTGCAAGCAAACATATTGTACGCTTCACGGTAATTTATGACAATCCAATAACTGTACAACTTTGCAACAGCTAAAAAGATGAAATAAAAATTTATAGTTTAAGACCTCAATTTTTCTGCTTGGAGTTTTACATGAGGTCAGCAAACTCAAGACTTTTCCAGAAGCACTTGGTAAATAAAATAATTCAGTGACTGATGCTTACCATACGGCGATCTAGGATAGAACGGAGTAGTCTCTTTTTGAGGAACTTCTTGAACTTTACCAAATAGTTCTGAAGTGGAAGCCTGGTAAAATCGAACCTTATTCGTTAAGCCGCACGCATGGATGGCGTCTAGAAGCCGCAAGGTACCAATTGCATCAACTTCTGCAGTGTACTCTGGAAGATCAAAAGAGACCTAAAAGTTGTAAATTACATAATATTATGAACGTAAACACACACAGCTAGATTAAACTTCATTTTTATACGTGAGTAATAAGATATCATAAATCTAGAAAAAATTGAACATCAATTACTTGGTAGATAGCTTGAAATTGTTATAACTTCTGATTTAAAACAAAAAAAAAACGAA